AATTAATTATTTTGTTAGAACTTATAATTATCCTAATTATATTTTAGATTTTTTATATTTTAAAATAAGATGTTTATTTTCTATTTGATTATGTTTATCCGCAGTTAGTTACACAAATTCAAACAAGAAGCTTTAATAAGTTGTATATACACATAATTTATTTGTAATCTTAAATTTTAAGTAATATGCATCAATAAACAATAATTCATACCTAAAAAATAGTTCTTAAAAGTTTTTGTCAAATGTTTTATAATATAGTATAGATACTATTCCAAATAATACATCTTAAAAACTATTATAACAAAAACATGTTTTGTTTTTGATCTATTGCAAACCAAAATTTATTGGTTTGGTTGATTATAATTAGGGATGCAAAAGGGGTTTGGATTCATCAACCAAAACTCCAACGGTCTTGATCTTTATTTTGATCTCATCAGTTTCTGAAATCATCATTTTCTTCTGTTGTTCTTCGAGATCTTTGGCTTTACCCCATAGCACCACATACAACCCGATCACGATGCCAACTGCACCTATCACGCTGAAATTAAAAAAATTGAATTGAAGCAGCTTAGGTCAGAGGTAGATTCAATCTTTTTCCCAATGATATCACAAAGTAATTAACATATACAGAATATAATAGAATAAAATAAAATAAAATCATATTATACAATTGTTCTTTGAAAGATCATATTATACAATTTTCTTATAGTTGTGAATTGCGATGCAAAACACTAAAAATATCAGTTTCAATTCCAACGGTCTACAATTTGGGTTTTGTGTTCCATTCTTATGAACCTTAAAACTAAATTTTAAGCTTCGATATGTTGCTACATCTCGTAATTTTAAGGGAGACCACGATGCTCCGTGGTAGCATAAATAAATCAAAATGATAAGACCTTTTAATGTCATAATGTTTTTTACAATAAAACGAAATATATTAATGTTATCATGTGCCATCATTTCCTAACAAGTGGATCCGTCCCTAATTTAGATTATCAAACCTTTTCTCAATTCATTAGTAGAAAAAGTACAAAAAAACCATTACGATGCTAAAAAAAAAATGTCCCAAACTTGCCTTCATGGCTTTGTAGTTTGCAACATGTCTCAAAAGCATGCTTTTCTATCTCTCTCTCTCTCTCTATCTATATATATATATATATATATATATATATTGTGAGAATATATAGAATCTTATTAGATTACTTTTTAAAAAAGCACTTCAAGAAGAGAAGGGAAGTTCTAACATATATTAAGAAGAAACTGTGCAATCTAACTAATATATATATAAAATTAGAAATAACTTGCCTTCCCAAGTATATTCTTTCTTGTAGAAATATACAAGCCATAATGGTGACAATGACAGTGTTTAAAGGGTTGAACATTGCTGAAAACACAGGACCCCTCCTTTCTATCACCCATGATTGCACAAATAACGAAATTCCAGAACCAACAATACCCTGAACACAAAAATGTCGAAAATAAGTTTAATTTCAAACACGAACAAAGACATTCATTTCAATTTGATCATCTAAAACGAATGTGATTACCGCAAATAAGCAAGACCCAAGTTGCAAATACGAGTTAATCTTCCAAACTTCCAAATTTGGATCTGTAAACCATGTAACTGTCGCGGATTGCACCGTTGCAGTAAAGCACATCCAAGCAGATAATGATAGGTGGTCAGGATGGTTTTTATTCACCGGTACCTGTATATGTGTGTGTGTTTTAACATGTTAGGATATGTGAAACCCCTTTTAATTCTATCTAAAAGCTAAAAGAGAGGTTCCTCTCTCTCCCTCTCTCTCTTTATATATATATACTTATTATCATGTGAGACCACTTTTTATACTTGAAACTTTACAGTAAAATAATGTGAAAGTAACATTCACAGTGTTTTTCATGTGAATGTTCATATTTCTTTTAAATTCACAATATTTTGTTGTGAAGTTTCAAGTATAAAAATATGGTCTTATGGGTCTCACGAAAACATGCTGGTCTCACACGAACTCAACCTTGTATATATATATATACATACACATACAAAGATTTGATGTTTTGTGTTTAGCTGATGAACCTGAATAATTAGATAGAATGACCAGCAACAACTGCTACCAAAGAGACACAAACAACCCAGAAGCCAAAGATTATCACTTCCACTACTAGAATTTAGTAATAAAGAGTTTGATAAAGGCAACTGTGAATTTAGAAGCTTGGGGCCTTTGATGAGTGCCATTGCAGCAGCACTCGTGACACACAAAACCGTCCCTAATATCTTTGCGATCGTTCTCAAGCTTCGGATATTTACTGGTTCATATCTGAAGAAAAAAGAACTCAAAAAAGATGATGATGCTGTATGCATTTTTATTGGAGGAAACTGAAGTGGGAAGCTTAGTACCCAACAATGGATGCTACAAAAAAGGTGATTGCAGGGACAAGATTGAACATGGAACTTCCTGCTGATGCTGAGGCCAAGTATAAGCCTTCTAAGAAAAGCATTTGGCTACTTGTTATTCTGCAAATAAGCAAATAGTATTAATTTTGTATTAAGACATAACTAGGAAGTGCTGTATGTATATACAACCAATCAACTTTGTGATCTTTATGCATGGACAGACAAATCATGTTAAAGAGAGTAATTTACCCTATCAAAGCTGCAATAAAGATCAATGAAAAGCTCTTCCATCCGATACAACATTTCGTTGTTTTTCTTCTACGACACATGAAAGAAATATCGGAATCAGACGTTATATATATTGGAATTCAGTAACAAGTTTGCGATGCATACCTTGAAAAGTAAGAGATAGGAGCAATGGCTAAGGTGGCAATTGCTTGTCTGTAGACAACAAAAACTCTAGGGTTCATTCCTTCCAAAAGAGAAGCTCTAGTTGAAATGGAGACTGCTCCATATGTAAATTGAAGCACCAACATGACCATTAATGGCTTGTTATGCTCAAACCACCCCATTTTCACTTTGAAGCTGTTTGAGCTTAATTGGAATGTGATCTAGTTAAGTGCTCCACAAATTTGAATCCTTACTACTCCCAAAGGACCTTTATATACTCATATTTCCAAGAGTTAGGGATTTGGCACTTGGATACCTAATCTTTGAACTTCGCCCAAGTTCAGTCCTTGATTGTTTCCATTGCTGGAGTGCAAGTAACATATATATATATATATATATATATATATATATATATAGAGAGAGAGAGAGAGAGAGAGAGAGAGAGATGTACAAATGAAAACCGTGCATTTCTAAGAAATCGTATAAACTAATTTCGACCAATAGGAAAATTTCATTTTTTATAATTAAATTTAATCAATAAAGGTATTTCGGTCATTTACAATATTTTTTATTAAATATGAAAATTACTAATAAATCTTAATTAAGGAAACATAATAAATGAAATTTATAAATGGTAACATTTAAATATTTAATTATATTATAATATTAAAAATTTGAACTTGATATATTGTGATGCGATTGAATATGCTGGCGAATCTTGAAGATTGTAAGACATAATGGAATGAATTCATCAAATCAGGACTGAAATAAAAAAATTAATGTACATGAAACATATTTCATGAAGGTGAAACTGTTTCATGTCGTAATTGAAGAATGAGTAGCGAACTGGTTTCATGGTGAACCCCGTTTCATTGATGGTGTAGTTGATCCATTTAGTAGGTGAAATGGAAAATAAAACGGGTGCATAATGTATTTGGTTCGTCATGAAATAATTGCATGATGAATCTGTTTCAGAATCTTGAATATTGTTATTTGCTCCAGAATCTTGAAGATTGTAAGGCTTAAAAGAATGAATTCATCAAATCAGGAGTGAAATAAAAATATTAATATACATGAAACAGGTTTCATGAAGGTGAAACTGGTTCATGGTGTAATTGAACAATGAGTAGTGAAACGGGTGCATAATGTATTTCGTTCGTCATGAAATAATTGCATGATGAAACGGGTATATGATGAATCTGTTCCAGAATCTTGAAGATTGTAATCTGCTCCAGAATCTTGAAAATTCTAAGGCTTAAAAGAATGAATTTATCAAATCAGGAGTGAAATAAAAAAATTAATGTACATAAAACAGATTTCATGAAAGTGAAACTGGTTCATGGGATGTTAGAGAATATGTATTTTGTTTACAATTTTGCTCTTATTGCTGATATAAAAAGAAATTTTTAATTTTTTTTAATTTTCTAAAATAAACTAAACTAATCTTGACCATCGATCAAGAAAATGGATGGATGAGATTGGTTTACATGATTTACACAAATGAAGACGGTTTTCATTTGATCGCTCCTCTATATATATATATAGGGTTGGGTTCACGTGAGGCCAAAAGTTTTTCGTAAGACTCGTAAGACCAATTTATGTTCATTGATTAAATTTATAAACTAATGATCTAATGGTCTAAAGTTGCAAGGTGACAATTTTGTAATTATTGAGAAGTCTCGTGACGTTTATAAATGTTCAGATCTGACGATTGTGAATCTAATCCAAGGGTTGAGAATTGGTCTTACGGGTCTCATGAAAAACCATTGGTCTCACATGATCCCAAGTCTCTCTCTCTCTCATTCTCTCTCTCTCTCTCTCTCTATATATATATAAATATATATATATATATATACACACACACACACACACATATATAGAGGAGCGATCAAATGAAAACCGCCTTCATTTGTGTAAACCGTACAAACTACCCTCATACGTTCATTTCATTGTTTAATCTTATGAAATTTTTTCATGAAATTGTTTAATCTTGTGAAATTGTTTCATATAACACTTTTTTTTATGAATTTGTTTCATATATGGTTATGAAATTGTTTCATATAATATTGAATTAAATTTTAATGAAACTGTTTCATGTATTTCTCTAAAATTAAAATAATGAAGACGATAATATCCATGATTAACACCCTCCACAATAAAAATGGTTAATCAACCTCTCATAATTACAAAAAAAATGAACAAAATGAATAATTATGATTGATTGAATGTGGTTTTCACGGTTTTTACAAATTGAGTTGTTTTTTTTTTAACGCTCCTCTACATATATATATATATATATATATAGTTTGTTTCAAATACAACCCGTTGACTAATGCAACCCAATTAATTGAGATATTTATGGAAATGATGAGAGTTCATTTATTATGATTTGAATATTTATGGAAGATGAATATGGTTCATTAATTATGATCAATACTTTATATTAGGAAACAATCAAAACTTTTATGAAATCACATATTAATCAAATGAAATGGACGGTTGAAATTGAGTTACGAAACTACCCGTCTATCTTCTGCATACCATGCGAGAAAATATCCGGTGCTTCACATTCAAAGACGCAAATTTTGACCAGATAAAGGGTTAGAATCACTTCTCTACTTGTCAAATAAAAATCTATGATTATATATGATATCATTTTCTGGATTCGGCAGTTTTAGTACTGACTCTTTTACGGTTCCGTCCCCATTTGAAGAAATACCGATCAGAACGTGTGAGGTTAAAAATGTAATTGAAGTGTAAGTTAAAGGGTGGTAGATGCAACTTAAGTACATGATTAGATGATATATTAAACTATATATATGCATGGGTACATAAAACAGCATCTTTCTTCCCACCAAATCAGAAACTTGTACATGTTTCACAGTGTTGGTTTTGATTTTATTAGGTGCTTGTGATCGATCAGTTACACATGGTTTTCAATAATGGACCAATATTTTATTTTTAATTTTCTTATAATATCTTTAAAATAATTTGGCGTTTATTTTACTTGGATAATATATATATATATATATATATATATATA